AAACGAATAAAAATAATTTAAGATGAACCCGCTTGTCAAAGCAAGAAAATTAGTCTGGCTGGTTACTCGGTGACCTTCAAGCTGCACGGTCACAGGATCGATTCTCGACATCCAAAATGATGTATAGACTTTTTGAGCACAGTCAAGTCACAAGTGGCTCAAGATCACAACAAGCACCAAATTTGACTAAGTACAGTAATTAGCGGAAATTTACAGCAAAACATACCAATAAATAAAAGTTAAAAAAAAATGCTCAATTATGGCTATTGTTAAAATTTTAGAAAGTTTATCATTAAGAATAAAAAAAATTCAAAAGTCAAGAGAACCACTAATATTAAAAATAGCCGAAGAGGAACTCCATGATGTAAAGTTTTGCTTTATCCGTAAAATTGAAATTTTAATTTGTTATTTATATAAAATACCAAATGGAAAGATATTCTCCTAAAGTATCGTTCAAGGTTTTTGTCAAAATGAAGCTAGCATAGGAGGCCAACCTCCATTGTTGGCCAACTTCGAGCTGCCATAAAGAGAAGAAGAAGAAGATTCTAGAAGGAGAGAGATTGGGGAATTTTTCTCTATATCATGTAACTGCTAAAAGACAGTACATATATACATGTGTATAAAATAAAATCACAGCCGATGACTGTAATGACTATATTACCCTTCTACAACCAACTAAGTAACTGATAAATACAATACACTCCCCCCCCCCCCAAGTTTGGAGGTGAGGGTTCACTGCCAACTTGTGTAGAAGGTCTGAATGTTTGATTCCTGTGAGAGCCTTTGTTAGAATATACAGCTATTGTCATGATGGAAATGTGATGAAGTGTAATCAGACCATCATGTAGTTTATCTCGCACAAAATGACAGTCAACCTCTATGTGCTTCGTCCTTTCATGGAACACTGGGTTCTCTTAGCAATGATGTATTTGCTGCTTGGCTATCACAATACTTGAATGGGATCAGAACATGGGACTGTGAGTTCCTCCAATAATCCTTTGCACCATACCAACTCCCAACCACCTTTCTCAGTATCTATATTCTGCCTCTGCAGAAGATAATGAGAACAGTAGTTTGCTTCTTCGACTTCCAGCTGATGGGGCTTCCTCAAAAACACTAAATACACCACTTACAGATCTCCTTGAGTCAGGACATGCTGCCCCAATCTGAATCACAAGTAGGCTATGATCTTGTAAGAAGGATTTTGGACAAAAAAATCCCAAGTAGGGTCTTTCTTCAGATATCTGAGTACATGTATGGCAGCCTTCAAGTGAGGCTCTCTTGGTGTCTGCATGAATTGACTTAGATGCTGTACACTGTACGCAATATCTAGCCTTGTGTTTGTGAGAAAGTTAAGCTTTCCAACTAGTTTTCTATAGTAGGATGGATCAGACATTAAGGGGCCCTCTTCAGCTTTCAGCTTGGTTGATGAATCCAATGGAGATGAAATAGCAGAGTACCCCATACAATCATATTCCTTCAAAAGATCAGTGATGAACTTCCTTTGGGATATCAACACTCCATCATCTTTGTAAAGCATCTCTAGCCCCAAAAAGTAATGTAATTTTCCCAAGTCTTTTATTTTGAATTGGTTGTGTAGGTAAGTCTTCAGTGCTTTAATTTCCTCAAGATTAGTTCCAGTAAGAATCACATCATCAACATATACAGCTACAAAAACTGATGACTCACCTTGCTTTTGTAGAACAAGGAGTAATCATTGGTTGAATGCTTGAAACCTCTAGAATACAGAGACTATGCTAGCTTGTCATACCACTGTCTACTGGCTTGCTTAAGGCCATACAAGGACTTCCTTAATCTGCACACAAGTTGTGTGTCTTCTATCTTCGGACCCTGTGGAATCTCCATGTAAACCTCCTCATGTAAGTCTCCATGCAGGAATGCATTGTTGGCATCCAACTGATAGAGGTCACATCCTTTCTTCACTGCAGTGCTGATCAGGGCTCTAACAGTGGTCATCTTCACTACTGGGGAGAAATTTTCTGTGTAGTCAATCCCACCTTCTTGTGTATAACCCTTTACCACAAGTCTTGCCTTGTATCTTTCCACACTGCCATCTGCCTTGTGCTTTATCTTGTACACCCACTTGCACCCTATGGCCTTCTTACCTGCAGGTAACTTAACTAGGTCCCAAGTATGGTTAGCATATAAAGCATCAAATTCTTGTGTCATTGCTACTTGCCAGGCAGGATTCAAAGCTGCCTCCTCATAAGAGTATGGTTCACAATCATGTGAGATGTTCTTAATTAATTCCTGACTATCATGGCTTAATGAGTTGAAAGAGACAGAATGGTTATGTGAGAAAAGAGCAGTTAATGAATTATGAGGTGGCTGTTGTTCAGGATTTATAGTGTTGTTCAAGTGATTGTTTGTTTGTAACTTTGGTAATGTACAAATATAGTCTTTGAGATGTGAGGGTGTGCTAAGGGTCCTGTTTGATCTTCTGGGATAATTGGTTACTTGATTAACATTAGGCTCCATGTCTTGTGATGCTTGGTTGGATGGTGTTATATGTGGTTCTTGGTGCACTTCAGTTGAGTTTGATTCTAGATTTTGATTTTCATATGGAATGTGATTTGATATATCTGTAGGGTGTGACAGTTGGTTAATGTCTGGTACATCAAATGTGGGACTTTCAGTGACAGAAGTTGGTGCATCCCTATCATGGTTGTAATGACTATCAAATGAATTTACTGTGGAATGAGGACAAGTGGAATTATGATTTATCATGTCTAACACAGAAGGAAAGGAAGAGTGTTCAGGAGAAATAGCAAAGGGAAAAATGTTTTCATGAAATACAACATCCCTAGACACATGTACCTTCTTTGTGGTCAAATTGAGAACTTACCCTTTGGTCCCAAAAGGATACCCTATAAACACATGAGGGGTAGCTCTAGGTTCAAATTTGTCTTTGTGAGTTTTGAGTGTAGCGGCATAGCACAAGCAACCAAAACTTCTAAGGTGTGAGTAGGTTGGTAATCTGTTATAAAGAAGTTCAAAGGGCATTTGTTGTTAAGAATTGAGGAAGGCAGTCTATTTAACAAATATGTAGCAGTCAGAATACACTCTCCCCAGTATTTCATTGGTAATTTGGATTGATAGAGTAATGCTCTGGCTGTTTCTAATAGATACTTGTGTTTTCTTTCAACCACACCATTTTGCTATGGTGTATATGGGCAAGTTTTCTGATGGATTATGCCCTTTCCATGGAAATATAACATGGCCTCATTATTCACAAATTCCAGCCCATTATCTGACCTAACAGCCTTAACTGATGCATCAAATTGGTTTTCAATCATGGAGATGAGGGCTTTGATGGCTTGGAGAGTGTTACTTTTACTGCTCAAGAGATGAGTCCAAGTAGATCTACTAAAGTCATCAACCATTGTAAGGAAGTATTTGTAATTGTCATGGGTTGTTATGTGATAGGGACCCCAAAGATCTATGTGCAAAAGTTCAAATTTTTGGTGGTAGATGAAGTTCTTTGACTCAAGGGTAATCTTGTTTGCCTTGCCATGGGGCAGACATGGCAAGTAAAAGGCTGTTTGTGGGAAAATTCAACAGGTATGGTGGAAATAGTTCTCATTTTCACAAAAGGTACATGGCCTAGTCTGTTATGCCATATATGTTCATTATTGTCTTTATGAGATGATAAAGATAACAGAAGAGAAATCTCATTAGAGGAAGAGTCAGTTTTATTTCTTGAGTGAAAGGTATTTACATTGACATTGTTGTGTGATTGAGATGACTTATCTACATTTGACAAGGACTTCCTAGGTGAGTTGTGACTCTTTCCTTTCTGTACAACATCAGTCAATGCAAGAAAACAAGGGTGAGAACAAAGGTTTACAGAAACAGAAAAAGAAACAGACTTTGAAGATCCATGACACTTAGGGCAAAGGAAGTACAATCCACTCCTTGCCTTACCAATCTCCAAAGGCCTCTTCATTGAAGGGGCCTGCATCATACAAAGGTATTTGCTAAAATTAACTATGCAATTGAGATAATCAATTAGGGAATGAACAGAGATGAGATTGTACTTGAAAGTAGGCACATAGAGAACTCTAACTAAGGTTAACATGGGACTAAGGGATGCATCTCCAATTTCTGTCACTTTTACTCTATATCCATTTGGTAGGGTGACTAAGAAGGATAGGGTAAGGTTCTAAATTCTTTAAAAAGGACTTTCTGTATGTCATGTGATTTGAGGCACCACTATCTATTATCCATAGGCCAGTAATTGATTTAGAACATCTACACACAGTTGTTTCAGCAATCTCCTTATAAGTGGAACAAGCTAGAATACCTACGAAGTTTGCAGCTCCACAAGTCATGTTGTTGTCGAGGCCCTCTCCTGTGTTTCTCCCAGGAAATTTCTCCAACAAGTTAAGCAATTGATTGTACTGCTCCTTTGTCAAGCTCTGAAGCCCCTGGCTTTGATTTCCTCCTTCCATTTCCTCAGAATCTACATGAACATTTGCAGCAGATGCAACGTTTCTCCCCTTTGTGAATTTAAAGTCTTGCGGAAATCCATGAATTCTATAGCAAATGTCCCTGGTGTGTCCTGGCTTTTTGCAATAGTCAGAGAACACCCGAGTCCTAGCAGGTGGATAGCCTGATTTGTTAGAATTGTATGAGTTTGCCCCTGTATTACCTCCCCTCTGATTGTAGTTTATTCTGAACTTAGCATTTCCAGGTCCATTTGCATTTAATGAAGTTGATTCCATAACTAATTTGTTGTTCGGCTTAACCTCTCTCTGTTTTTCCTCCTGGATCAGGATAGAGAAGGCTTGAGCTATGTTGGGCAACGGGTTCATCATCAATATACTGCCTCTCACAACTGTGTAAACTTCATTTAGGCCCATTAGGAACTGAATTAGCCTACGATCCTGCTCAGCCTTTTGCATATTCGCTTTTGCACCACAAGTGCATTGACAATTGCACTGTGCATGTGCATTCAAGGTGTTCAGTTCTTCCCAAAGTCATTTTATTTTTGTGTAGTATCCTGTGATATCCAAAGTGCCTTGGCTAAGGTAATTAATTTCTTTCTGTAGTTGATACAACTTCGCTCCATTAGTCCGATCATACCTATCCTCGAGTTCCTGCCACAATTCCTTAGCGTCGTTGACATATTGCAAGCTGTCAGCTAGATCCTTCGAGAGTGAGTTCAAAATCCAGGACGTAACCATGTCATCGCAACGAGCCCACTGGTCGTAGGTTACTTCATCAATTTTAGGTTTCTTACACTTTCCATTGACGAATCCGACTTTGTTCTTTACTGACAAAGCCCTAAGGATTCCTCTTCTCCAGGACCTATACCCAGTTCCGTCGAAAACAACAGGAACTAGCGTTGTTCCGGCACTCTCCGACTGGTGCATGTACAACGGACTAGTCTGATCCATGCTACCAGCTGTGTTTTGATCTTCCTTGTCTCCAGCCACTGAACGAGGTGAATTAGCAGAGGAACGGAGTAATTGATTACCAAAATTTTGAAGAAATTGGGTGAGAATTTTCAGAAACCCCTTTCGTCAAGTGTGGACTTGTATCTTTCCGATTTGAACAGATTTTTGAGATTAGAGAAACAGAGAAGATGAGCGATTAGAGTTGTGCTCTGATACCATGTCGAAATGAAGTTAGCGTATAAGGCCAACCTCCATTGTTAGCTGACCTCGAGCTTCCATAGAGAGAAGAAGAAGATTCTAGAAAGAGAGAGAGTTTGGGAATTTTCTCTATATCTTTGTAACTGTTAAGAGACAATGCATATATACACGTGTGAGAAATAAAAATCACAGCTAATGAATATAATGACTATACTACCCTTTTACAACTAACTAACTAGCTCATAAATACAATACACTAACATACTACAAAAATACAATAATCGCAATAAAGATCATTTCATTTCATCATTGAAAACAGCGACAAAACAAAATCACATAAGTACCCCCGAATCAGTCAAAGTGTCAAACACCCAATAGTTGAAGAAAATGCTCTCTTATACCCCAGTAAATAATCTTCAGAAATTGCTACTCCAGTTGTAAATAACCCTTTTACTGTTTGATCGCGAATGGAATTTTACCAAAAACTGGCAACATGTTCTCATTTGTCGCTTTTGTGCTTCATCCTCTTACATTCCATTCAAGTTCAAGGTAGCTACTTTGATCAAGAATATGGTAAGCAGGTACTGAGCTCAGCAATACAAGATAAAGATTGGTTAGTATCCATAAGAAGGATAATTCATGAATACCCAGAACTCAGATTCCAAGAATATAACACCAGTGCTCTCATTCGTACTGAACTCGATAAACTTGGCATTTATTATGAATACCCTTTTGCCAAAACTGGTCTTGTTGCTCAAATTGGTAGCGGTTCTCCTCCTGTTGTTGCTTTACGAGCTGATATGGATGCCCTTCCTCTCCAGGTTCATACACAATTTTTTTACTATCAATCAATTATACCTAAATCGTGAATTAGTTGGGCAGTTATATGCAGTTCCGAGCTAGGTTGTTCCCTAAGGGAAATCAAGATATAAAGAAGTAAAGACACGAGAAAGTCACGGAGATTCAATATATAGAGTATATACATAAGAAAAAAAATTGACCTATTTACCCGGTGTGATTTTCGACCCAAAGGGTGTCAGTTGACTCCCCTTGGACAAGGTTGCTCTGCCCCTAGTTATTTGAATCTTCTTGTATCTAATTGAGAGGAGTCAATATAGTTAAATTATTTATACACTGGTCATCAACCTACCACAATCCTCCAACTTTATTCAAATTTGCAACTGGCTATGTTTTGTGAAGCTTAAATAGGTGGAGTTAGAAAGAAGTTTTCTTAATAGTGTGCATATTTAGTTATGGAATGTCTCTAACATTATTCTCGAGTGAATATAACAATAGGAGCTTGTTGAATGGGAGCATAAGAGCAAAGTTGCTGGCAAAATGCATGGATGTGGACATGATGCCCACACGACGATGCTTCTTGGCGCTGCTAAGCTGCTGAATGAGCGGAAGGACAAACTTAATGTAAGTTTGTCAACTTTACCCACTTCACTAGTGCTGATTCATTTGGAATGTAATTTGTGCTTGTGTGATTCTTCAACAAAAGATTTTTTGCACAATGTTGACCAATGACGAGATTGTCTTGTTCTCAGAAGTAATAATATTAGGTTTGCGCTATAGTCATTATGCTGATCATTTTATCCGTTGTGCTTTGACTTCTTATCTAGGTTTGCATGTACACTAGGCCTTTGGAGCTTATTCTAAAAGGGGGTATTTCTTAAACATAGAGGACTGTAAGAAGATAGATGAAAACATTCTTTAATAGAGGGGGGGGGGTATTAAGTGTACTTTGTCGAGATAATGAAAGAACAGACTCAAAAGGAATAGACCAAAAAGGATATCTTTTTGCCTTGTTATCAGATTAGTTCATTTATTCACATGTCTCCCTCGGAACAGTCCAAATTTCATAGCAGTGTCGCAAAAAAGGAATAGTTGTGCTGTTTGTTATCGATGATTCTGCTTAACTTGGATATGACCATGTTATTCTTTGATTCTCTAAATCTGAAACTTGGATCATCCTTCTGTGGGTGACTAGCAGTGCCTGTGGGTAATCATTTTTGCCTTTTCCTTAGATGAACATATAAAGTGATTTTGCCCATTGAACATAGTTGTGACCATTCATGATTCATCAATTGTCTCGATGTGGAGAACCTAGCCCTCTGATCCTCCATGGCTTGCGAGTTCACATCCAGATGAAGCAACCAGAGAAACTAATTCAGGCATGACGAGAAATTTTCCAGTCAAGAGAGAGGATCGATCGGAACCTGTTGAAGGAAAGGGTAGATGACGGAGCATTGGCCCAAATCAATTTCTCTCTGGTACCACGAAAAAGAAGCTGAGAAGACCGATAACTTCTATCTACATTACAATAACGATACATGGCTGCATGTATAGGAAACGAGGAAACCATGAATGTTTTTTTGAATTCTTTTTTGCTTGACCAATAAAAAGGAATTCAAGACTGAATCACACTTTCTAATTACTTGTCAGTCTGTAATTGATTGACTGATACTATTAGATATTTCTTTTCAACTTTATAAGAATACATTTGTCACATGACACTCGTAAAGCACTGGTCGAATTGACTTATTCTGTTTTTGCCCTTTGTGTGGCATCATTCATTATCTATCCATTCTTGGGGTAGTCTACAATAGAAAGTTGATTTGTTGCTTGTCTCTATTTTTATTTTTTGAACCCGAAAAGGGAACGGTAAGACTTGTTTTCCAACCTGCGGAGGAGGGAGGAGCTGGTGCATATCATATGATCAAGGAAGGGGCTCTAGGTGATGCAGAAGCTATATTTGGAATGCACGTTGATTTTAAAAGACCTACAGGGAGCATCGGTACTAGTCCTGGGCCCATTTTAGCTGCTGTTTCCTTCTTTGAAGCAAAAATAGAAGGAAAAGGTGGGCATGCTGCAGAACCCCATGCTACTGTGGATCCAATACTTGCTGCATCATTTGCAATTGTGGCATTGCAGCAGCTCATCTCAAGAGAAGTAGATCCCGTTCATAGTCAAGTACGTAGCCTAATCTCAATTAGAAGTATAATCTTTGGTTTACACACACACAGAGACACACAGACACATAATTATGTAGGTACATATATTCCCTTCAGGAACATTTCTTGTTTTAGAAAGCAGTATAGCGTTTGAGACCTGAAGCCTCATTGACAGTTAAGTTGACTGAGATTGAAATTCTCATTTCTGCCTGAAGGTTCTTTCTGTTACTTATGTCAGAGGTGGATCAGCATCAAACGTAATTCCGCCTTATGTTGAATTTGGGGGAACTCTGAGGAGTCTTACAACTGAAGGCTTGCTTCAACTTCAAAAGAGGGTGAAAGAGGTAGTTTGCTTACATGAACCTTTGACTGTTGTTGACTATCAACATCTGCAAAACTAGATTGTCTGCCAGATGTCTTTAACATGTAGTTTTCTGTTAAAAAATTTAGTGATTTTTTTGAGTGATGTTTAATAGCCTTAAACTGAGCCTTCTTAGCTACTGAGAGCTACATAATCAAATTAACAAGATTAAGGGTGAATAATTCTCGAACACATGTTAACATGAATATAGAAGTCTCAGCTGAATGAATGATATAACTTGTGGTCTTCTTGCAATTTTCCCATGAAGATGCCATGTAACTCTAGCATTCATAACTGATCATCTTTCCCTGCTTTGCTTCTCTTTCTTTGTCAAAATCAATTTTATGCCTGTCCTCAACATAGAAGCTTATCATGTTTGCTATTGAATCCTCTATTTCTATTTCGCATTGCTGAATTAGATGCTAATCGTCTTCAATGTCAAGTATTGCTGCAAGATCTTACTAATTAATGTGAACAGAACCTAGATTTCTTGTGGCAACCTTGTGCATTTGTAACACACATTTATATGGAGCCTGCAGGTAATTGAAGGACAGGCTGCTGTGCATAGGTGTAAGGCGTACATTGACATGAAAGAGTAGGATTTCCCAGCATATCCAGCTTGCATAAATGATGAGCGCTTACATCAACATGTAGGGAGGGTTGGCAAACTCCTGCTTGGTTCCGAGAACATCAAGGAAGCTGAAAAGGTTATGGCAGGTGAGGACTTTGCCTTCTATCAAGAATTGATCCCTGGAGTTATGTTTCAAATTGGAATCAGAAATGAAAAAGTGGGCTCTACCCACGCCCCACACTCCCCTCACTTCTTTCTCGATGAGGATGTCCTGCCAATTGGAGTAGCGTTGCACACAGCCATAGCAGAGATGTATCTGAACGAATACCAACATCCCATTGCGGTTTAGATAATTTACATTGTTGTTAGTTAAATGTTCCAATCACTACTCATGCATTCTGTGCATTACAATGATTAACAATTAAATTTGAAGTGATGATTGTCTGTTCAGGTAGTTCATTTGCCATGGTAACTCTTGCGCTCTTTAAAGTTTCTCTCATGCAACAAGGCATCAAGCAGGCTGCTAAGTATACAGAAAATTTCTAGTTCCAGTCATGGTCTTAGGATTCACTAGTTTGTTTCTTCCAATAATCCAGTAACCTTTGAATTTTGCTATTCCTTTCCCTTTATTTTGGTATTATCTGTATGACTGTATCCAAGTATTATTGCACTGGTTTAATGAAATATCAAAAGAAAAAAAAAAAAAAAGCAGCATTCAGTGGATTGGATAAAAGCGGAAGTATTCACCCGGATGATGCAAGCGCTAGAACATTTGCAAATATCATAATGGCTTGCGAGTACTGAAATTTCGGGTTCAAAACAAATTAAAGGAAATTAAGCTAGCGTTTGGCCATAGATCCCAAATTTATTTTGAAAAATCTGATTTGGGTGAAGTTTGGTTTGAAGATGAAAATGTGTTTGGACACACGTTTTCAAAACATATTTCCCAACTTTATTTTGGAAAAACATGTATATAATTCCCAAGTTTTGGGATTTTGGCCCAAAATCAACAATTGGGGTGATTTTGGGATTTGGGATTTTGCCAAAATATGGGTAAAATTTATGGCCAAACATGAGTTTTGAAAATAAATCCCAAATTTATTTTGGAAAAACTCATGGCCAAACGGGGTCTAAATTTCAATTAAGGTTTGTTTGCCCTTTAGTATTG